AGCACACGCTATAATTCACAGCGATTCACACACTTTACTTACGGTGCCTACTGCTCTCTTGACTCGAATTTTCTCTTCAATCTATTTCCGGCTTATATGCTAAAAAAAGGTGTCTAGCAAACGCTGGAACATTCGTGAGGTTGCTCACTAAGTCACGATCCTTCTAGAAACTCCAGCGCGCATGCTCCCAGCGTCGCGTGACTTCCGCTGTCGTATCACTATGAATTCTCACGTTTACAGACAGAGCAGGCTAACGTGTAATTTAAACTACTGTTTAAATCTTAAATTAGAAATCCCTGGACCACTCTTCTTCATTATTAAGAAATGTTATTTCGGGTATCGTAGGTACAATATAACTTGACAGAACACTTGATATTTCGTTTCAAAGTTGTTCTTTGGTGAATCAATGGTAAGTTTCCAAACTTATATTATTAAAATCCGGGGTTCTATTTCCTTTATGGGGAGAACACAGATGGCCCATTGTGTAGCTTTGCGCTAAAAAACAAGAAGAAGGAAACTGCTTTAAATAAAACTATTTTATGATTATCAAAGTACTAAAAAATGTGTTATTATGTCATTTTAAGGTTTTTATTAAATCTTCATTATACAGAATTAAGACTTTTCCATAAACTAAACTTCTAGATTTAATATGACTTACAAAGATTAATAAATATTTTGATGTTCTTTTAAGCTCATTAATAAAGCCAATTATTGCTTTTTTTGCAGAAAATATTCAAAGATACAATGTAGTTAAAATTTAGATTGAAGTTTTACTATTATTTTATTATTGAATGTCATACACTTGCTTTAGCAGCCGTCTGAGTGTCATTTCTTAAGACAGTCCGTCCAATAGATTTGTTTTCTTGTTTTAAGCGCTAAGTTACACAGTGGATTACCTGTTCTGTGTTCATCAGGAGTATCAAAACCTTTGTTTTTAGTGTTATATACCTCCATACTTATCGCCTAGCCACAGTAAGAAAGAAACCGAAAAGTCAAGACTGTAGGCTTAGTAATCGAAATAGATCGAACTTCATTCGGTTGCTAACCTAATTTCAATCCAACCAGTAGCAGGTACTTCGGTTTAAAATCTGTCAAGGTTTAAAATTTTGAAAGAAAAATGGGGATGTTCAGAAATTGTATTTCTCTTCATCCTGCTCATGATTGTTGTTTATTGCCAGTTGTGATTACTGCTGGATTTGCATGCCAATTTGAGACAAATAACTTGAAAGTTTCTATGACGTGCGAGTGTTGAAATTTAAGTGGTGCGAGGAAAGCTGTTTTGAAGAAACACGGAGAGGCCCAGTTAACATATATGAAGTCACTAGGTATTTTCCTTTTCTTGTTCTTTGTGACATCATCTCAAGGCAGACTTCTGATAAACAAAATAAAACTGAACTGGTCTTATAGACTTAGAAGTTAACTTTATGTTGTACAAAACCTTTAAGTGCATATTGTCAATATTACCTTAATTCACCGTCTACTCTGGCGTGGAACACATCTCTCACACTATACAAGAAAGGGTTACACATAGTTAAGTGTACTTGTAAGAGTTTCTTCTCATCGCCTATTCAGTATAACTGCTGCTATTCAAGTTAAGAACCATTTTTACGAAATATCAGACTACTGTTTTGCAACAGATAATCTCTCAATAGCTCACAAAGTAAAGGTCACAAAGCATTTGAGTTTTTCGACCTGTGATAATCAAGTAATCATCACGAAATATTGTCCAAAGATTTTGTTTGATATATCATTTCTGTTATTGGTTTCTCGAACAAGTGAAATCCATGTGTGCATGTTATTTCAACCAAACAGTCAGGAGGACATTGTCGGTATCTCAGCTGACTATTGCAGCTGTGATGATGGCCTTTCTCAACAACCTATTGCTCAAGCGATTTAGTGCCAGATTGCCAGGAGCCCCACATTCTGCCATTTTATGAGTTATATGGCCAGATTCTCTCCTGTAACTGTACAATTTTGACTAAACTTAACTTGCATTATAACAGGTGTACTGACAGCAGCTTATCAAGTGGATTCAGAAAGTTAGTGTGTTCTCATGCACATGACCTTCATCCACAGTGATATAACTACAGATATGAGACAGCCCGATTTGCCAACAGAAATCAGAGCCTTCTACTGTCAGATGCAATAAGCAATCTTGCCAGAAAGAAAACGTGGTTGGTTGCTAATAATTGAAGCAATTGGATATTTTCGAGGGAATTTTACAACTGCTTCAGTATTTTAGCGTTCTAAAAGAGTTTAAGAAAGAAGTTATAACAATTTTCTGAGTTTTTGAGGGAACATATACATGAAGAAATGGTGTAAGTAAAGACGCCTGTATTACGAAATAAGATCAAGAACTGGGAAAAGTACAGCTAGCTAGTTAAATGTTATTGAGAATCACGAGTTAGTGAATACCAATTTAAGAGTTATAAAAAAATGAAACTACATCAGACATGTTGAGAAAATCACTACCATAAATGATTGGCAGTGATTAATTACTGATGCCAACTCATTAGTACTGTGGAAACTACGAAAAAGTTTATGTTAACATGCAAAAACGGTACTTTGAGGACATAATCCTTACACGATGCTGGTGTACTAGCACAAGTGGTTATGGTTTTGGACTAGTCTGGGAAGTTGCACAGATCGACCAAAAAAGTGGTAGAACTACTTGTGGGTAGTTAGGAATACTATTTGGAAGGTCGACAGAATACAAAGAAAATATGGGTTAAAACTCATGTCTGAAGCAAAAATTCAGTCTTGTTCAAGTTATTCTTGAGTTTTTCCTGAGTTGTTGCAGTCGTTCTTGAGGTTCTCCACTATGAATCTGAAGGTCTCCAATCTCCAAAAGTATAATGGCCCAGCTCTGTTGTAAGTATATAATCTGCCATCTCTTCTATTCAATTAATGTACTTTAGTAGTAAAGGATATTCAAGTTTGTATTAGAGAAATTAACTCTATATGTACTGGTCATTGGTGCTGATTAAAAATAACAGTGAAAGGTATAACGATTTGTAAACTTTTGACTATTATTGTATGCTATGTGGACAAATTTAATAAATATTGTTATATTTTGTTCAATGTTAGTCTTAGAATCTGTTTCTCTATTTTAACTGTAAGTTACCTCGACTTACAAAACATACTTAAATTAGAAGTATGTCCTTTCCCTTAACAAGAATTGTATTGCCATACCATGTCAGCTTAATGTAATCTAGTCTTACCAGCATTAATATCATAATGAGTTTTCATTTTATCACAAGTTTTTCCCAGAGAAAGTCATGTATGACATCGCTTAATCTATTTAAATATTCTGTGTAATACTTCACTGTGTGACAATCCTCTGGGTGTGTTTACAGAAGATCCAAAGGTATTTTAAGTGATGAAAGTATATTACTTGTAGCTCTATGTATTTCTGTTCAATAAAGCATACATATCAGTGTATTTGATTCAGTGTTTTTTTGTTGTTCATCCACATAAATGGCTAATTAATTTCACAATATACAGTTGTATTTCTTCACCAGGCAACCAGAAAATAGTTTTTGTTCTGATATTTTAAATTCAAAGAATCTGACTAATTTCAACAAACAATGCTTACTCGGAGTTCTATCCCTGATCTACATGGAGTTCCAAAGATACCTCAAACCTTGAATGAATTTCATTGAAAGAGCTGCTTTGTTAGGATTTACAGTTCCTGGTTAAAATAAAAAAACACATGCTTTTGGTCATCTAGCTAAATAGTCCATCACAAAAATAGTGTATTTATCCCCACTGTTATTCTATGCTTCTGGTCATCTAGCTAAATATTCCATCACAAAAATAGTTATTCTATGGCAGAAAATAAAGCATATTGACAGTAATACTTTCAAATGGTGCTCCAACACTATATCGCTGTATCTGTCCATGAA